TACACAAGACTAGATAATGATCTGAGATATCATTGCTCTGCTGCATAATTTCAATGCCATTAACATCAATTCCATGTGATAGTATTAAAGTATGATTATGACAATGAGTAGGTCCTGTCACGTGTTGTCTGACTCCAATAGAGTTTAGAATGTCTATAAATGCTGATCCCAATGCATCTTTTTCATTATCTACATGGATATTAAAATCGCCAACAATTAAGATCTGCAGCCACCACTAACTCTAGCCAACACTCAACTAACTCAAACAGCAAATTCTTTGATAAAATCTGTATACTGTAGCCAGTACAAATGTCAATAGGGATTTATTATTAACACTTATTACACTAGATAATTTTACATAAAGCACCATTACTTCAAATTAATTATACTTGAAATCAGACCTCTGAGGAATACTGAAAATATTACTAAAAACTTGTAGCAACACCTCCCCCTTTATTTTTTGGATGCGGCTCATGTTTGTAACAGTAATCTTGGGGGGTAGACTCATTTAAAGTAATGTAATTATCTGGTTTTAGCCAGGTTTCTGTCAAACAGAGCACATCTAGGTTATGATCAGTGATCACATCATTTACAAAAAGTGCTTTCATAGAAAGGGATCTAATATTCTTTAAGCCAAGCTTTATCATGTGTTTATTTTATTATATCTGGTTTTTATTTGTTAAACATCAATTAAATTGTTACCCTTAAATTGTTTTGGACGTATTTGTATTTGCTAGTTTGGGGAACAGGCACAGTCTCTATAGTATTATATCTAGGTTGTAGCATCTGGACCAATCAGACACACGATATATATTTTTGTGTTATACTTAACAAATACTCTGTAACACCCCTCAGTTAACAAGCCATATGAAGGTCTATGGACCCTTCCCCCGAAATGTGCGTAACACCTCAGGAAGGCAGAACAGGCCTCTGGTTCCATGGCAACCAATGCAGATATCACTGGTTTTATTGCTCAAAAACTCACACTTCATTTACCCTTAGGAAAGACACACAATGCCCAAAAATGGACTATTCTCTAATTAATTCATAGAAAAACCTTTCTGTGAATGAACACACATATCCTTCAGGTCATTGTGTATATTATTGCTGTCTTGTATATTATCTGTTGTATTGTAGACTATTTTATGCATGCTTATGATAGAATCACTCATTCATGTAACCTTACATATGCCATGTTTGGTCTCTATGAATTCGTATTCGGATGATCTAATTGAGAGTGTATATTATATGTTTATACCTATGCAACATATTAGTGTTCTAAGAAACTTTAGTAATCTTTCATCAATACCCAAGCGAATTACATATGCGAAATACCATGCTTAGAGACAAAGGGTCGTAAAACCCTCCAGTAATTGCAACCTCCTGCTTGGGATTTCAGCCTTTCTCATTGGACAAGCCCATCTTGAGAGGCGTGAATCTTCTCAGACCTTAAAGGCCTCACATCAGTGACCCGCCTGAATGAACACACATATCCTTCAGGTCATTGTGTATATTATTGCTGTCTTGTATATTATCTGTTGTATTGTAGACTATTTTATGCATGCTTATGATAGAATCACTCATTCATGTAACCTTACATATACCATGTTTGGTCTCTATGAATTCGTATTCGGATGATCTAATTGAGAGTGTATATTATATGTTTATACTTATGCAACATATTAGTGTTCTAAGAAACTTTAGTAATCTTTCATCAACACCCAAGCGAATTACATATGCGAAATACCATGCTTAGAGACAAAGGGTCGTAAAACCCTCCAGTAATTGCAACCTCCTGCTTGGGATTTCAGCCTTTCTCATTGGACAAGCCCATCTTGAGAGGCGTGAATCTTCTCAGACCTTAAAGGCCTCACATCAGTGACCCGCCTTCAGTCGGTGGTTCTGTTAGGTTCTGAGAAAATGTGAGCTACAATGCTCCAGGACACCCTAAGTTTGTGCCAGGCCTCGGGCCTTGACTTTTCCATTCACCAAGATTCTCTGACTCAAACTGGTTCTTTTTCATCAACCAACTTCAGCAAAGATCAACTTGAGCCTTCAGATTGCATCAAGCCTCTCTTTCAGACAGACGAGACGTGCAAGCATCAAACTTAATGTATCAATTACTAAGACTAAGTATAATTTGCACCTTTTTACAAAGGTGCATTTGAACTAAGAGTCTGATGTTTCCTTCAGGCTGTAAATCTGCTGAATATCAAATGGTTCCATTGACAGACAGTTGACCCTGAGAGGTCAAGTAAATACTTACAGCGGATCTAAATATTTATAATTAATTATAACTAGTTATGATTAATTATTCATATTTCCCCGTGAGCTGATTCGCTTCAAGGTGTAAGAGTCTCTAGTTGTAAGAGTCTGTGGGCCCCAGTTAGTCAAGTACAAACTCTAAGATTGTGCCATATTTCTAGAGAGAAGAGAGGCACCATCCCTGGTCCATTTGTCTATGAAACCCATGTTATTCTGCGGACACCACTCAGACATCCAGCCATTGAGTGACGACAGTCTGCTATGTATCTCATCACCACGGTAAGCAGGGAGGGGACCAAACCATATTACAGTGTCTGACATTGTACTTGCAAGTTCACACACCTCTTTAATGTTATATTTAGTGATCTGCGACTGGCGAAGTCGAACATCATTAGTGCCGATCTTACTGAATTTACGTTTACATTAGCCAGCACTTTTAAATTGGCCAAGATGTAAGGCACTCTGGCAAGAGGAGAACTGGCCCCCGACTGAGCCTGGTTTCTGTCACAGATCGGCCAGACTCAGTCACCTCCCAATCACCGCAACCACCTTCACCTCATTACTCGCCGATCTTACTGAATTTACGTTTACATTAGCCAGCACTTTTAAATTGGCCAAGATGTAAGGCACTCTGGCAAGAGGAGAACTGGCCCCCGACTGAGCCTGGTTTCTGTCACAGATCGGCCAGACTCAGTCACCTCCCAATCACCGCAACCACCTTCACCTGATTACTGAGCACCTGCACCTGTCACCAATCAAGCACCTCATCAATCAGCCTGCATAAAAGCACACACCTCAGACACCCTCATTGTCCGGTCACGTATACACGTAAAGGACTCAATGACTTTGCTACTACTTCCATTTGAATACTTCCTGCATTACTTACCTCCTGTGTTCCTCCTAGTGTCTCCTCGTCTCCAAGTGTCTCCTGTTCCTCCTAGTTCCCGGATCGCTGAGGTGTGTGCTCCTCCTGTCTGCATTTCTGCTCCTGTAAAGCCCAAAGACTCGGATTACCCCACTCATCATATCCTTTGAACTATTCACTCAGCATCACATCCTCTGGACTCTACACCCGTACTCTCTGTGACCAAATAAACCTGTTTTATAAATACTAACCTGTTGCATCAGACCTCTTCCACTACAGAAGACCGGACCAACACAGACAGCACAGATGAGTTCTCCCCACGGCATGCAATCGGCTGCGTGTTTCTCCGTCCTTGCTCGCCGGGATCTCCCCTTCTACGAGTACGCCGGGGAGTTTTGCAAGCTCGCAGCGGTGACGGCGATGGATGATGCCACCCTCAACCATCTGTTCTGGCTTGGGGCCAACACTCATTGCTCCTTGGACCTCCCACACACCACTGGACTGAGCCAGAACCAGTCCGCCGCCATCCGCGGCTCACCCAAGGCAGCCGGCAGATCCCCACATATCCTTTGAACTATTCACTCAGCATCACATCCTCTGGACTCTACACCCGTACTCTCTGTGACCAAATAAACCTGTTTTATAAATACTAACCTGTTGCATCAGACCTCTTCCACTACAGAAGACCGGACCAACACAGACGGCACAGATGAGTTCTCCCCACGGCATGCAATCGGCTGCATGTTTCTCCGTCCTCGCTCGCCGGGATCTCCCCTTCTACGAGTACGCCGGGGAGTTTTGCAAGCTCGCAGCGGTGACGGCGATGGATGATGCCACCCTCAACCATCTGTTCTGGCTTGGGGCCAACCCTCAGTGCTCCTTGGACCTCCCACACACCACTGGACTGAGCCAGAACCAGTCCGCCGCCATCCGCGGCTCACCCAAGGCAGCCGGCAGATCCCCAGTTCCGCCCAGGAGGGGCTCCCTATCCCCAGTTCAGCCCCGGAAGGGCTCCAGATCCCCCGCCGAGCATAGGAAGGGCTTCAGATCCCCAGTTAAGCCCAGGAAGGGCTCTTGATCCCGAGTATAGCCCAGGAAGGGCTCCTGTTTCCCCGTTAAGCCCAGGGAGGGCTCCTGATCCCGAGTATAGCCCAGGGAGGGTCCCTGATCCCGAGTATAGCCCAGGGAGGGTCCCTGATCCCGAGTATAGCCCAGGAAGGGCCCTTGTTTCCAAGTATAGCCCAGGAAGGGCTCCAGTTCCCGAGTTAAGCCCAGGGAGGGCTCCTGTTTCCCCGTTCAGCCCAGGGAGGGCTCCTGATTCCCAGTTCTTCCCAGTGTCGGCTCCAGCCCCAGAGCTGGCTCCAGTGTTGGCTCCAGCCCCAGAGCTGGCTCCAGTGTCGGCTCCAGCCCCCGAGCTTGCCCCCGTGGCGGCGCCCGCCCCCCCCAGAGCTGGCTCCAGTGTCGGCTCCAGCCCCAGAGCTGGCTCCAGTGTCTGCTCCAGCCCCAGAGCTGGCTCCAGTGTCTGCTCCAGCCCCAGAGCTTGCTCCAGTGTGTCAATCGGCGATAATGGACATGGCGCTGGCCCCGGGGTTCTTGGCACCCGTCCTCACCCCAGAAACCACGCAAACACGCTTCTCTGAGCCTCCTTCGCCTCCGCTGGTCGCCGTCCAGCTCTCTTTCGTTGCCTTCGCTGGTCCTGTCCAGACCTCAAGTGCCCGCTCCTCCAGAGCGCCCTCAAGAGCCCGCTCTTCCTGAGCGATCCCCAGAATTCCTAGATTTCCCCAAGAAAATTGGGGGGGCATATACCCGTGGCCGAGACAGCCAAGGCCACGGAGGATCCACCATGGCAACCCGAGTCTCCGGCTCCGCCATGGCCTCCCGAGTTCCCTTCTTCGCCATGGCAACCCGGACTACCTGCTCCGCCCTGGAGGCCTCCCGGGTCTCCGTCCTGTACCAGCCTCCAGGGTGCCCACCCCCCCTCCCCGGTGGAATTGTTGCGGCACGAGACACGCCTTTCGGGAGGGGGGGAGTACTGTCACAGATCGGCCAGACTCAGTCACCTCCCAATCACCGCAACCACCGTCACCTGAGTACTGAGCACCTGCACCTGTCACCAATCAAGCACCTCATCAATCAGCCTGCATAAAAGCACACACCTCAGACATCCTCATTGTCCGGTCATGTATACACGTAGAGGACTCAATGACTTTGCTACTACTTCCATTTGAATACTTCCTGCATTACTTACCTCCTGTGTTCCTCCTAGTGTCTCCTCATCTCCAAGTGTCTCCTGTTCCTCCTAGCTCCCGGATCGCTGAGGTGTGTGTGCTCCTCCTGTCTGCATTTCCACTCCTGTAAAGCCCAAAGACTTGGATTACCCCACTCATCATATCCTTTGAACTATTCACTCACCATCACATCCTCTGGACTCTACACCCATACTCTCTGTGACCAAATAAACCTGTTTTATAAATACTAACCTGTTGCGTCAGACCTCTTCCGTTACAGTTTCTCCCAAGGTTTTTTTTTTCTCCTGTGATTTCTGTCACCGATGGAGTTTTGGTTCCTTGGCACTGTCGCATTTGGCTTGCTTAGTTGGGGACACAATTTCTGGCAACATTGTTGACTTGACTGCACAGACACTATTGGAAGAGAACTGAACAGAGCTGGATGATGACATCACTGAATCAACAATGAACTTAATTTAACTGATAAACTGACTGTTTTCTATTGTCCTCTTGCATTA